GCGGTTTAAAACCGCCACAAAATTCATCTAAATTTTGTTGGCCGATTTTAAAAAAGGTTGTCCCGACATATATTTTGAATTAGTTTTAAAATTTGTCCCTCTTATTGTGAACTAAATTAGGAAAAAGATACTCTCTCCTTTTTTTTAACCTAACAAAATTTTTAATTCCTCCTTTCTTTCTTTCTCTTTTTTTTTTGCTACCCTCTTTTGAACCAATTGGACTTTATGACATTATAATTATTGCAACCATTATACTTATTATTACTATCATTATTATTATGGTCACCACTATTATTATTATAATTTATGCTATTACGGTTAAAAGTGGTGGTTCGATAATAATAACAACGATAATAATTGTGATGGAAGATAAGAATGATGACTTGATTATATTATAGTGATTGGTGATGACAATTATCAATGACAGATCTAGAATCATAAGTTAGTAGAGACAATTTTTTTTAACAAATAAAAATTAATAATCATCATCATATAAAAAGAAATATAAAAATAATTATCACTAAGTTTAATAGATAAAATTAGAAATACAAAAAATATTTTTAAACATATATACATTAATGATTTAATTAAAGTGAAGAGATGTATATATTCACTTTAACTATAATTTATGTCATTTATTGATAATAATAATAATGATAAGGTTAATGATTTTTTATAATGTTAAAACAGATTTTTTCAATCGGTTATTAAGCAACCAATGCATAAAACACTTATTTATTAGAATAATTGCTTTAGAAAGTATTGTCTAGATACATTCTTTACTAAGTGATGTAACATTGTAATGTTTTCATAATTTTTTGACACTCTTGGCCAGACATTCTAAATTATACTTAGATTTTTTCCCATACATCAATGAAATATGGAATGTGGAAGGAGAGTTTGCAACATGGAAAATAGGCATTAAGACAGATCAGTGAAATGGTAGATATGAATGAACTAATTCATGTCTCGTCACAATCACATGAAATGAAATTAAAGAATTTCAACCACATACTCACATACGGCAAGGTCCCAATAGGATTAAATGCTTGCAGCATTTGGGTCCCACATAACATTAGGTTTTACAAAGGACAAATGAGATATATATGTGGTCCCCCACGGGATAATTGCATCTATTTCCACTCCCTTGCACGAAACTTCATGAATCATAGAATAGATCCAAATATGGGGAGAGAGGATCTCTCTGACCAATCCCCCGAACTGATTTAAATGCCTCCATTCTATTACCATTACACATGAGCGAAATAGTAGTTGTGTAGAGATAATGACTAAATAAATTAGAAACGAAAAACCAATTCAATTAAAATAAAATTATATTGAATCGAATTAGATTTAAATTTTAGAGAGAGAAAATGTCCGTAGATCTTAAGTGAGATTGAGTTTAAATTAGCATATATATGTTATTTGCAGTATTCTTTAAGAGTTCCTATCAAGTGTTTTTGCAATAAGCATATGGTTAAATAAGTTTATGAATACTCCAATTTCATATGTGTAACATGGCACGTCTTCTAAATTGTTAAACATTTATTTAAAACTTGATATCCTTTCATTACAAATAACACTCGGGACACTTCTATTTCATTCACCCCACTCGAATATTAACATAAATACAACATAAACAGAAAATGCATGCATGCCAGAAAATGCTACAAACTATTAGGTAGAGATGGTAAAACTAGGACCTTTCCCAAGCATGTAATCTAATTCGTTTGCAAACATGTCCATAGCTTTGTGAGGCAACCAAATTGGTATTACTGTACCTTCTTCTCCTTTTCCATTCCTATGCGATATGAGATACATTGCCCCATGAAATGGCCCGGCCCCACCTTTGGCCACTCCTCCATACAGTGCCTTACCCCACCCAAAATCAAGTTGTTTGAAACTAATACGTCTCAAATCCGACACGATTAAAGATCTCACAGTCGTAAATAAACACCGTCCCTTGGTAACCATTAGATCTGCCACGGAATGCATGTATTCTTCTGTCACCTCACCTTTCACTTTATTTATTAACTCCACTGCATACCCAAATGGATTTTCGCAAAGTTCCCCTGCGGTGGTAACTGTAGCGGGGTATGCAAATACGTTGCCGTAGTAACCAGCGGGTAACGGAGGATTAAACCTGGCACGTGCGTTGACGATGACCATCATGCGAACATCCTCATGTGCCTCTATTTGCAATGCTTTTGTGCGACAACGCCATATGCATGCAGTGATGATATCAAATGTGGAGCAGTGGTGAAGGTGATGGGGAACCAAGCGGCGAAGGGCTGCTATCTCGGTGGGTCCAAAGAAGAAAGATCGAAGAAGCATTTTGTTCTCATATGAAGCAGTGAAGGACCCTTCGTTGGGGTCTGGAATTTGCTCGAATTCACGATGGTTGCATGTAATGCGAGGTGGATCTCTTGCCTGTAGAAGCTCCCTATGCCACACGGGTGGAACGGAAGGTTGGCGAGCTCCTCGGGACATTTCTGCTACTGCGTTCATGAACTGTGCTATGCCAGTTCCATCGCTCATGGTGTGGTTCAAACGAACGGCTAGGACGAAACCACCACACTTGAGACGTGTGACCTGTGATTTAAAGTCCAATGTCAACAGATGCACCACCCTCTTAAAAATAAAAATAAAAATATCTCCGCATAAAAGTGAAAAAGTACTTCTCACAATACACCACTGACACAACACACGGTACAACAAAATTTATTATTTTTAATAATTATTGAATGATAATAAATTAATTATTTTTATTTTATTATTTAATAAAAATATTAATAATTAATATATAATGATTACTAAAAATACATTTATATCATATTAAATTTTATTATTATCAATAAATAATTATTAAAAAAAACTTAAGTGTCATATCGACTATAAATAAGATAATTAAAGAGTATATAAGTGAATAATAACTTTTACCTTACATTTTGTTTTGTAAGATTTAGTTAGACCTATAATTTACTATTCAAAGTTGGTATCACTTGAGAGAGTATATTGAAAAAATTCTAAATCTCACATCTAATTAAAGAATATTATAAATTATTTTTAAACTTTTAATAACTATAAAAAAAATATTAAATGTCAGTAAAAATGAACAATAATCTCTCGTTACTTATCTCATTTAGTACAAATATTCTTTAAAGAGTATTCATAAATTTTTTATATATTCACATATTTGTGATTATTTGCAAAATTTAAAATTTTAAATAAAAAGATAAAAAATAAATAAAACTAAAAATAAATAATTTTAAAATATATATTAATGTTAAAATAATTTTATAACAATATTTATACTAAAATTAATTATTTATGATTCATCTATTTAGTATAAAAATAAAATAAAATAAAATATTTTATGCATAATTAAAAATATATTTATTATTTTTGAAGTATGAATATGTACGAGTATGAATATCTGTACCTTTATTAAACAGTATTCATCTAATTATTTATTTAAAATTCATAGTAAATTTTATCTATAAATATTCACATATTTATTTATTTTTAGTTGTGATAGAACAGATGTGGTTATCTGTCGTTACAGCGACACTTGTGTGGGCAACACTAGATCCGTGTTAATATAAAAATAAGTAAATAAATGACTTGTCTCAAGATGGCTGCCTTCGAGGTTTATCTAAAAAAATGTTTTTTCTGTGTTAAAATGTTTGTTCAAAAGTAGAATATTCTACGACTAATTAAGTAAGAAGCTAAAAAATATATCTTGGTAGCCAGAGTTAGGTCTGCAAAAATTTAAGGCTTTTGTATAACTGTTTTCTACAACTAAAAGAGGTATAGATAAGGGAATCATGGATGCTATGTGTATTGGACCTGAAAGAGTATAAGGGGACAGTCAGTAACTCCCTCGGAGCCAGGAACATCATATAGTAGTTGTTGGAAGCATGGGAATGGAGGTTGAAGAGAGTCACCCAATTGATCAAGTGTTACATCTGCATCGGCCTCAATAAACATGACACCTTCTCCAGTACAATCCACCACCAATTTGCGACCAAGTGTCTCCCTAAGCCTACCCGCAAAAGGGTAGTAGAACACAAGTGTTTGCGCGAGTGCGAGTCTAATGACATTAGCAGGGTCTTTTCCCACCATTGATGGCTCGTTACTGTAGAACTGTACCAATGGAATTTGGAAACGCAGGCCTTGTTGATCATCTATGTCAGAGAGTGGTAGAACTTCGTGTGGAGTGGGTGTAGCAGGAACCACCAGCTCTGGTTGGCACCTATCTACAGTGAACTTTAGAGAGGGAGATGAGGTAGCCATGTTCTAGGAGAAAGAAGGAACTGCAGAGTTGGTGGTGTTTGTCTTGTGTGAGTCTGTGGAACAATGTTTTTTTACTATAGCTTTTATAATTAAACCACAACAACTGAAAATGTAATGACAACCTTAAAATCTTGAACTAATAATTATAAAATTAATTAATTAATTAAAATAAAACAATTTTTAATTATGGCTACGATTATAACTGTGGAAACGAACCCTCAATAATTATTCTTTAATTAATTGTCACAGTTAACCGTGACACCTGTTTATCTATTTCATTTTTATTTTTAAATAACTGTTACTGGTAATCCATTAAAAAAATTAAAGAATTGAGATATTTAATTGGGTAAAAAAAATTTAATGCGAGATATATTTATATAAAAATAAAAGTTTAAACTTTAAACTTTAAAATAACAACCTAAAATAATGTCTATATATACTACAAAATATTAAAATATATTAAGTATATTACTTCACAATAAATCCTGAATAAAAAATATATTTTATATATATATTTTTTATTTTTTTCAAAATAAAAGAAGTACCTGTACCTGTACTTGTATAAAGACTTTTGTATATAAAAATTTTAGTTGAATGCTCCATTCAAATTTTTATTAAGAACCATCCTTAGTAATTAAGGAAGAATCGCCTTAAGGTTGAGATGCAACTGCTCTTTTAAAGAAAATAAATGAGAAAATAAATGATTAATCCGTACAACTTAAAATATCAAGACACAGAAGAAATCACCACCAAACAATCCTGGTGTTGCTCATGACATTTCTTTTTCACCTACCAACTGACAAAGGTATGCGTTCAATAATTATAAAAATATCGTATGTAATTATTTATATAAGATATAAGAGTTTTTTTATATCTAAGAAATATAATGATCTATAAAAAGTAGAGGTCAAAAATAGATACATACCTTAATATCTATTTTATAACTTAATAATAAGTATAGATATAATTATAACTTAATAAAGTAAATTATTAATAAAAATTATAAGGATGTGAAATTACTGTAAGATCTATTTAGTAATTTTTATAGTGGTGCTGAGTTAAAGAGGTTAGGTGTTTAAAAAAGTTGTTTATATTAAAAAATAAAATAAAATAAAATAAAATAAAAAAGTTATCAATATATATGGAATACACTTTAGGAACTAAAAAACAAATTATGTGATGCTGTCTAAGAAGATGGAAATCATAAAATATTAAAATCCCTGCACGAAAATCACATGAATGATGATTAGGTCGCTTTTATGTCCTGGACAAATGCAATTTTTTCTTTTTGAGTAAATTACAATGATATTAATTTGTTGAATTTTTTTGAGATTATACATGTATTTTTTTTTAAAAAAAAAATTGGTAACCTTTTCTATAGGGTTACAGTACCGTATTATTTTTCAAACAATTAAATATTTAGTATAATGTTCATGTCTTTAAAATATATTGATGTAATATTTTTCAAACTATTAAAGATGTTAGTATAGAAATAAAAAAATAAAAAATATTCATATAATCTCATAAAACTTTAATTTACTCGTTTACTTTATTGTTTTAGTAATGTTATATATTACAAAAGACTCAGCACCAAAACACAAGAAATTGAAAATCAATAAATAAAGAAATACAAAACCATTCGAAAGGGAGAGTTGTGACATAAAAAATAAAATAAAATAAAATTTCTTGAAAGAAATATTTCATTAAATAACAAGTGTCACACTCTAAAACTTAATTAAATCATAACCCTTAAACTAAATTAACATATATTATGTTGTTATACAATTGATTTAAATATTTTATTTAATATATATTTATTTTGAAATTATATAAATAATTTTATATTAATTTATGAGTTCAATTTGTCTATAATTTAATAATTAATTTGTTAATATTATATTAATTATAACTTTTTTGAAAATTTTTAAAATATAGTATGAATTTTATTAAAATTTATATGTATATAATATGTATGACATGAACACTTTTTTTAAAAGAAATTAATAAAAAATAATTAATTATATAGTATAGAGTTGTTGATGATTTGATATTATATTTAGTTTGTATATATACAATACATTTCTAAATTCGATTTGTAACGGATATATACTTACGTGCAATACATTCAAACTGATTTGGGTTAAATTGGGTTGACTTAATGAAATTAATATTAAATATCAAGATTTAAATATACTAGTTTAATTATGACTCGTACTGATCAATATTAATATAATTCTTCTACAAGTTACAAGTAAAATTACTAATAAAATTAAATATAACAATTTAAACAAAAGAAATAAATTAAACACCGGTTAATAACTTGGAGAAGTTGACAAGCAATTATTTTTTTTTGGCAATTCCTTATGTTCAAGTTTATTTTAGAGGGTACCAAAACCCTCTGTGACTAGGATCACATAAATGATGACATGTGTTAATTTTGTTAGAAATTGTCTTTTTTAAAATTGTTTTAATATTTATTATTTAACCCTCATTAATTAAAGGTGGTATCTATGATACACCACTTTAACAAGTGGTGCATGGTAAACCATTAGTTTTGGCCATAAGATTCATCTAAACTAATAACTTATACTACTATTTTCTATTGAATTTTTTTTTTATTTTTAAATTACCAAAAAAAAACAAAAACACGTGTTATGCACTGAAGGAACTGCAACTCACGTTCGGAACGGGCCGTTCTGATATCAGAGCGGGCCGTTCCAGATGAAAAAAAAACGCATGAAGAATGGATCAGAACGGCCCGTTCTGAAATCAGAACGGCCTGTTTCAGATTCAAAAATAACACATGATAATTAAACCAGAACGGGCCGTTACGGGCCGTTCTGAAATCAGAACGGCCCGTTCTAATTATATATTTGTTATACGACTTTTTTTGAACAAAATAATATTTTTTTTCATTCTACTAAATTATATTTACTTCTTCTAGACTCTTCTCTTTCTCTTCTCACTCTAAGGGGGTGCCCTGAGGTATGCTCAGTTAATTATATCGGAATCGAAAGTTTCGAAAGAGTTTGTAGGATCTTTGTGTTTAGATTGCCATGTAACTCAGTTAACTCGGCTGTGCGGTTACATCACTCCTAAAAAAAAAGTCGTACATTCACCTTTTGATCTTTACTATTTAAATATGATCTGACGGTCTATATTTACCAATAATTCTCACTTGATACTATTCTAGTGAGCTTGTGCATGTCTTGCATATTTTGCTTTAAATAGCTGTTTTGTTGTTCAGATCACATTGAGCAATGGTGAAGGCTGTGGCAGTTCTTGGCAACAGTACTGAGGGTGTCAATGGAAAAATTTTCTTCACTCAGGAGGGAAATGGTAAGTTTCAACAGAGAATTTTGTTTTGTTTTGTTTTCATTGGATTAAGCTAAATGAAGTAACATATATTGTGAATTGTCCAGGCCTAACCACTGTAACTGGATTTGTTACTGGTCTTTCGCCCGGTTTTCATGGCTTCCATATACACGCCTTGGGGGACACTACCAATGGTTGTCTGTCAACTGGTATAGTCTTTGGACAATAACCCGAATCATTTTTTTTTTAATAATCTGAAGCATTAATGAGCTGGAACAAAAATAAACACACACTTTGCTTTAATTTAAAGAAGGGTCTAGCTAACCAGGGCCCTTGAGGCATTGGTTAAGGAATCACACGTGGTAAGTTTTCATTGAAAACTACAATAAAGCTACATGGAAGAATGTGCAGATACATCTTTTAATATAAATTTTCTACCTTTCTTAGTTAGCATTTTCCTTTAAAGATTCTTCAATGTGCCAAGCAATACAATCTGTTATAAAGCTGTTGGATTGTGAAATCTTATCATTTACTAGTATATTACGAGGCTCAATCTCTTGGTTTTTTTCCATGCTTACAGGAGAACATTTCGATCCTATTGGCAAGGTGCATGGTGGCCCTACGGATGTCAATCGCCATGCTGGTGATCTAGGGAATCTCGATGTCGCTGGTGATGGTATGGCTTATAACTTTGTTTTTTGTTTAATTTGTTTGTTTTGTATTAGTTACTCAAACTGAAATAACCAAAAGCAATTTATTCATCCGATTACAAATTTTAGATTTCTTATTATTTATACATTTCCTGTGTTAAAAAAAGAAAACTTTTAGCATTACAAAGAGGTGTTTGATTACATAGTTAACAGATAGGCTGGAGGTTATACAAGGAACTTTTCCATGTTTTGGAAAGATTGTTGGTAATCAAGATTTCTTTCTTTCTAGTTTGCTGATAGTTCATCTTTTGAAAGAGCTTGTTTATTTGGCCTATCGTACCACATGCTTGTTTGGTCTTTATTTTAAAATGGTTCCCTCTCATTGTGAAACTCAGGAAAAGTCAGCTTCTCTATTACTGTCAGTCAGGTATGTTATTCATCTCCTAATCAATATGTCTGATGAATTCTTCATTTAAATATAATTTAGTAGAATGAAAAAAAATATTATTTTACTCAAAAAAAGTCGTATAACAAATATATAGTTAGAACGGGCCGTTCCGATTTCAGAACGGGCCGTTCCGATTTCAGAACGACCCATTCTGTTTTAATTATCATGTGTTATTTTTGAATCTGGAACGGGCCGTTCTGATTTCGAAACGGGTCGTTCTGATCCATTTTTCATGCGTTTTTTTTTTTCATCTGGAACGGCCCGTTCCAAACGTGAGTTGCAGTTCCTTCAGTGCATAACATGTGTTTTTGTTTTTTTTTGGTAATTTAAAAATAAAAAAATTCAGTAGAAAATAGTATTATAAGTTATTAGTTTAGATGAATCTCATGGCCAAAACTAATAGTTTACCATGCACCACTTGTTAAAGTGGTGTATCATAGATACCACCTTTAATTAATGAGAGTTAAATAATTAATATTAAAACATTTTTAAAAAAGATAATTTCTCACAAAATTAACACATGTCATCATTTATGTAGTCCTAATCACATAAGGTTTTGGTACCCTCTAAAATAAACTTGCACCCAAGAAATTGCCTTTTTTTTTTCTTCTTTCATCTCACTTACGAACCCTTTTTTCTTCTTCTCACCTATCTCCATATATTTTTTTTTTCTTTCCATCATTGTCTTCTTTTCAATTTTCAACCGTACATAGTAATAATGACATCTAGCTTTGAAATTACAAGGTAGACTTGATAAATTTAGCACCATTCCTTTGAGGTTGGTTTTGGTTCCAAAGCATGTCATTCAACTCTTTCACAAACCTTTCCATAGCTTCAGCATCCAACCCAATCACAAATATTATACCTTCTTCTCCTTTTGGATTCTTAATAGGGATGAAATAGGTTACTGCTGAAGAGGCCCCTATCCCACCTTTGGCCGGTCCACCAAACACAGCATCACCCCATCCAAAATCCACGTTTCTAAACTTGCCGCGTGTTGTATCCGACACAATAAAAGAACTTACTGTTGTAAATAAGCATCGTCCCTTAATCACCATTAGATCTGCCGCGGATTGGATGTACTCTTCTGTCACCTCACCTTTCACTTTATTTATCAACTCCACAGCATACCCAAACGGGTTTTGGCAAAGCTTCCCGGCGGTGGTGACTGCTGCCGGAAATGCAAAAGCGTTGCCGTAATAACCAACAGGTACCATCGGAGGGTTGAATCTTGCACGTGCGTTGACGATGACCATCATGCGAACATCCTCATGTGCCTCTATTTGCAATGCTTTTGTGCGACAGCGCCACAAGCATGCTGTGATGATATCGAATGTGGAGCATTTTTGAAGGTGATCGGGGATCAAGCGACGAAGGGCAGCTATCTCGACGGGTCCGAAGAAGAATGATCGATGAACCATGTCGTCCTCATTGGAAGAGAAGGTTCCTTTGTTGGTGTCTGGGACTTGCTCGTATTCGCGATGGTTGCATGTGATGCGAGGTGGATCTCTTGCCATTAGGAGTTCTCTACGCCACAGAGGTGAAATGGAAGGTTTGGTTGCTCCTCGAGCAATTTCGGCCCACGCGTTCAAGAATTGTGACAAACCAGATGCGTCGCTCATGGTGTGGTTAAAGCGGATGGCCAAGATGAATCCACCACACTTGAGTCTTGTGACCTGCATTTAAATTCCACCATTATGAAATTCACAAACTAAAATAATTTTTGAACACCAAAGTGTGTGCTATATATTCGACTTGCAGTGAGAAAGAAAAAAGGTTATAATTAACATGTATAATTGTATTGAACCTGTACGAGTAGAAGGGGAGTGTTGGTAATTTCTTGGGTGCCTGGAACATCATATAGCAGTTCTTCGAGGCATGGGATTGGAGGTTGAAGATTATCTCGAAACTGATCAAATGTTACGTCTGCATCAGCCTCAGTGAAAAGCACACCCTCTCCGGTACAATCTACCATCAATTTGCGGCCAGGGCCCTCCCTAAGCCTACCCGCAAATGGGTAATAGAAGACAAGTGTTTGTGCCAAAGCCTTCCGAATCACTTCAACCGGATCTTTATCAGCCATTGATGGTTCGTTTTGATAAATTAGTAAAACTGGAACATGAAAACGCAGGGAATCTTGATCATCTATATCGGATAGTAGTTTAAGTTCATTAGGAGTGGGTATAGCAGGAGCTACCAACTCAGGTTGGCACCTTCGCACTGTAAACATTAGAGAGGGAGATGGTGAGGCCATGTTTGAATGAGTGTTTGGAGCTGGGCTGCTGGCCATGGCCTTTATAAATCGGATTTTATTTGCATAAAGAAAACGGAAAAAATGTTTTCATAATCTAATCAAAGAGAGAGGACGGATTACATTGCATTTTAGTGGAGGCTATTAATTCCATGCATAACATGTTTTGTGCGTCAGTTAAATTCATAGGATGCAGTGTGGCCTTCTTTTTATCTATGACATATCACTTTTGAGAATAATTTTTTAAAATATTATTCTTAACTATTAGAGATTTATGTATAAATTATATATATATATATATATATATATATATATTAATACTCACAAAACCACACATCTAATAAAAGATCCTCTAAAAACAAAATCAACAATTTAGACCATACTAATTACTTATTTAAGCAAAATTCTATAACATCTAGTCTTCTTATATACTAATAAGTATAAAGTATATAATATTATATATTAATTTGTATAATAGATACAAACGATATATATATATATATATATCTTGAATTGTGTCTTGTGTTAGGTGGCAACGAGGAGAGCAAGCGTTCTGGAAATGCCGGTGCCAGAGTAGCTTGTGGTAAGCGTAGACTGTGACATCAAATGCCGTATTTTCTGACGTTCCTTATTTCCCATGCAATATCAATTTTTGATGTGGTTGTGATGCCACAAATTAAACTTACCAAAGATCTTTATAAAGACTAAATATTTGACCGCCTTTGTCAGCTGTTTAGAATCTATATTGTCTCGTCACTCTCGTGGATGCTTTCACTTCCTCCGTTGTCGAGATTTTGTTGTTTGCTTATGTTGATTGTACTGATATCCTCTTTTTGCCGTTTGTTGGTGTAGGTATCATTGGTCTGCAAGGATAAACTAATCACATGAAGTTGAAAACGTGCTTGATCATACGACGGAGCTTTAGAATTGTGGAATAAAGTAGCTCCTATTTAAACCCGTTTGGTTATGTCTGGTCTGTACTGCTGAATTCCTGTGTTTTGCTTGTATCGTTTGAGGATTATGTGTGTATCAGTTTGCGCTTGCAGTGTGATTCTCGAAAAATGTGTTGGCCTTTTCTCGGCTGCATACTGTTGCTTGTAAAATAATAAGTCAATTCTCAATAATCTTAGCTTAACCACAGTTCTTCATATCTCGTCGTCTTCTTCTTCTAGACTCTTCTCTTTCTCTTCTCACTCTAAGGGGGTGCCCTGAGGTATGCTCAGTTAATTATATCGGAATCGAAAGTTTCGAAAGAGTTTGTAGGATCTTTGTGTTTAGATTGCCATGTAACTCAGTTAACTCGGCTGTGCGGTTACATCACTCCTAAAAAAAAAGTCGTACATTCACCTTTTGATCTTTACTATTTAAATATGATCTGACGGTCTATATTTACCAATAATTCTCACTTGATACTATTCTAGTGAGCTTGTGCATGTCTTGCATATTTTGCTTTAAATAGCTGTTTTGTTGTTCAGATCACATTGAGCAATGGTGAAGGCTGTGGCAGTTCTTGGCAACAGTACTGAGGGTGTCAATGGAAAAATTTTCTTCACTCAGGAGGGAAATGGTAAGTTTCAACAGAGAATTTTGTTTTGTTTTGTTTTCATTGGATTAAGCTAAATGAAGTAACATATATTGTGAATTGTCCAGGCCTAACCACTGTAACTGGATTTGTTACTGGTCTTTCGCCCGGTTTTCATGGCTTCCATATACACGCCTTGGGGGACACTACCAATGGTTGTCTGTCAACTGGTATAGTCTTTGGACAATAACCCGAATCATTTTTTTTTTAATAATCTGAAGCATTAATGAGCTGGAACAAAAATAAACACACACTTTGCTTTAATTTAAAGAAGGGTCTAGCTAACCAGGGCCCTTCTAAGTTTTTTTTAATAGTCAAAATGATAGACAAAAGGATGACATTCCATGTCTATTGGGTATGAAACTAATGATGAGAATCTTTAAATCAAATATTACTATTCATTTGATAATTAGTCAAAATTTAACAATGTCTAATTTAATCCAAAATTTTAGTTGTTGAACTTAGGATTAATAGAAGTCTATCAAAAGATTTTCATCTTTGACCCCATATTCCTAATGATGGTAACAAATATAAAAGAACTCTAAAGTCACGTATTTCCTTAATTCAAACGCAACAAATATGAAAGTCAAAAATTTAGTATGAAAATAAGAAGGAAAAATAACTTAAGCGAATTAAGATGAGAGTTTAAAATGGGATACAAAGCAAGAAGAATGCATTCACCTGTTTATAGGAATTTTACATTTAGTGGAAACATAAGAATGTGTGCGTCGTAGTGAACTTTTCTCTTTTTCAAATTGGTGAAAATAATAAAAGAGTTTTATCACATGCACACCGCTACTTAAGGCCATTTGATCTTGTTCTAATTTCTTCAAGAAGGGTTTCTCCATTAGAAGAGAAAGGTTGAAGATAACTTGTAAAAAAAATGACCCAATAACCCATAAAAAAAATCATGACCCAACTTATAAGTAAATATTTTACCATAACTTTTTTTACATAATAATAATAATATAAATTAAATATATGTATGTATATATATATATATATA